TCATGGGTTCTAGACCAGATGGAGCCAGAGTGAGACCCGGTGTGTAAAAATAGCCAGTTGTTGTGGTGGACTCCTGTAGTCCCAGCTATTTGGGAGGCTGAGGCAAGAGAACTGCTTCAGCCCAGGCGGTGCCCATAGCTCAGTGGGTATGATGCCGGCCACATGCATAGAGGCTGGCAGGTTTGAACCAGGCCCAGGACAGCTAAAACAACAATGACGACAACAACAACAGAAAAGCTGGGCTGAGGCAAGAGAATTGCTTAAGCCCAAGAGTTTGAGGTTGCTGTGAGCAGTGATGCCACAGCACCCTACCCAGGGTGACAGGGTGACAGAATGAGTCTCTTTCTCAGAAAAAAAAAGATTACTTCTGATCCTACTATAGGTACTAGTTAATATGCCAGCTTTCAGAACTTCAGAACACTGGTTTAAAGGCTCAAGGCTGTGTTTTTCCACATTGTTACTTTCTTTTTCTTTTCTTTTTTTTTGAGACAGAGCCTCAAGCTGTCGCCCTGGGTACAGTGCTGTAGCATTACAGCTCACAACAACCTCCAACTCCTGGGCTCAAGCGATTCTCCTGCCTCCGCCTCCCAAGTAGCTGGGACTACAGCGCCTGCCACCCGGCTATTTTTTGGTTGCAGCCATCATTGTTGTTTGGCGGGCCCGGGCTGGATTCGAACCCTCCAGCTCAGGTGTATGTGCCTGGTGCCTTAGCCCTTTGAGCAACAGGCGCAGAGCCCACATTGTAACTTTCTATAGGCAAACTGAAGCAAGGCTATTTCAGACTGATAATGGGACCCCCTAATAATTCAGGTAAAAAATTAGAAATGCACAATTATTGGGAAAAAGAATGTGAACTATGAAGAAAAAAAGAATGTGAACTATGAAGCGGAATGTCATGAGTGAAAAAATAAGCATTCAAGTTTTTCACGTATTTGTTAAATTGAACTTATCTGTTTTGACAAACAAGAATTTAAACTAGAGATCCACTGAATGCTGGTGATGGGTAAATGTGTAAGTTTCTGCCTGGGAATTGATCAAAGGGAACCATCCCTCAGTCTTCCTGTTAAGGATGAGACAACAGTTACTCTGAAAACTGCACAGATAGGAATGTCACATTGGTCTGGGAGATTGGCTTTGTAAGGATAAATCTCCTCTTTCATTTTAATTGTCCCTACCTGACATAAAACATTTTTCTTTCCTGTTTTCATTCTTCCCAGTTCGGCCACCTGCAGCAACTAGTAAGTGATAATCATTAGAAAAAAGGCTTCAGAGCCAGCAGCACCCACAAAACACACTGAAGAGAAAATAACTTTTTCCTCTTAAGCAGAACCAGTGCTGACCTAAATACTTCGGCACCCTTCAGAGAGAGAAAACTTTTACATTTTTCATTTTTCACAGAAAAAGCAAAACGGCTTGGCGCCTGTGGCTCAAGTAGCTAAGGCACCAGCCACATACACCTAAGGTGGCAGGTTCGAATCCAGTCTGGGCCTGCCAAAACAACAATGATGGCTGCAACCAAAAAAATAGCTGGGTGTTGTGGCGGGCTCCTGTGGTCCCAGCTACTTTGGAGGCAGAGGCAGAAGATTCATTTGCGCTCAGGAGTTGGGGGTTGCTGTGAGCTGTGATGCCAAGGCACTCTACCCAGGGGGACAGCTTGAGGCTCTGTCTCAAAAAAGAAAAAAAAAAAAAGCAAAACCACTTCTTTTATAATCTTTCTTCTTTCATTATCTTACTATCGCTATCATCTTTTTGTGTTTGCTTTCTTAATCTTTTAAACCATAGCTTCATTCAGTTCAGTGGAGTTCATCTAACTAAAATTATTAAGATCTGTAGGTTGACTGAAGAAAATGCCCCAGAAACTTACAGTGGTTATCGCCACATTGGGATTACAGGATATTTCTACTTTTCCATCTGTGTATTGATTGAGATTATTGATGGGAAAGCAAGAAATTGGAGCTCTAGCCTTGGCATGACCACTCTTAGTGACCCTGGGCAAACGAGTGTCCCCCTCTGCACCTTTGCTTTTCTAAGTTAAAGGAGACCACCAAAGTGTTCTGCAAGTTTAGTTTCAACTAGAACATTCTGTGGGTCTACCTGAAAAGACAGCTTAGCTTGATACAATCCTGATGGAGGGTAATTTGGCTGTCTTTCAAAGTTACAAATCCATATACCTGCTGACCCAGTGACTCCCATTTCTGGAAATTCTTTCTATTTATATAAGACACACATACTTGCACAGACATAAAGGCACAGTTATACATGGTTATTCTTTACAGAATAGTCTGTTGTTTATTTTTTCACCCTCAGTAGAGTGCTGTGACATCACAGCTCACAGCAACCTCCAACTCCTGGGCTTAGGCTATTTTCTAGCCTCCTGAGTAGCCGGGACTACATGTATCCACCACAGTGCCCGGCTATTTTTTGTTGCAGTTTGGCTGAGGCTGGGTTTGAACCTGCCACCCTCAGTATATGGGGAGGGCGCCCTACCCACTGAGCCACAGGCGCTGCCCAGAATGGTGTGTCATGGCTAAAAGCTGGAAACAATCCAAATATTCATCAACACCTTATCAGTAGACTGATATTTATTTGAGAGAAAGTCTCAAGCTATTGCCCTCGGTAGAATGCCATGGCATCATCATAGCTCACAACAACCTCCAACTCTTGGGCTCAAGCGATCCTCTTGTTTTAGTTTTTCTATTTATGGCAGAGATGAGGTTTCACTCTTGCTTAGGCTGGTCTTGAACTCCTGAACTCAAGCAATACACCTGCCTTGGCCTCCCAGGGTGCTAGGATTACAGGCCTGAGCCACTGCACTGGGCCTTCAGTAGACTGATATTTAGACACAACAGTAGGGTAGTTAGCTATAAAACCCTTTTTAACATGCATTTTAAATCTTTGGACCTATGTGTTAGGGACTTTGGTGGTATAGGTTCTATGTGGCTGCTTCAAGTCAAAGTGTTTTTAAAAGGGTAAACAAAAGCAAACTATGACATCTAAAGAAACAATTATACAGGACACCTTCAAAGATTTCAAGGATTTGGGAGGTCTGTAGGAAAACTCCCTTTACCAAATAAATAGTCCTCTCTGATTGAGGCCCTGAAAAACTGGATTAGAGGCAAGGCCAAATTTGCAGCTGGCTTCCTTTACCAAGAATGATGCATCAGGGCACCGCCTATTTGTAGGGTGCGGCTGTTAGAATGGGGGCTGCATATGAGGAGGGTAATTGGAAAGGTTGGGGGTAGCAACACTTGTGCTTTGGGGCCTTGCTTTGAGCTCACTGTCTAGGTTACTGAGGTCCCCTAGCGGCTGGCAGAGGAGGCCCAAACTTTCCAAATTTCCTAATACTGTAGAAAATGCGAAGAAACCACCAGAGGAAGAGGGTGGGAACCAACTTTATCCCCAATCCTTCTGGCTCACCAACCCCATCCCACCCATCCCTAATATCAGTAGGAAGTTGCTGTCATAAATGGATTATGAAGAGATAAGGGCCTGGACTAGGGAGATGACAGTAAGAATGTAAAGGAAAAAATAAATGTAAATCTTTTTAACTTTTGTCAAAGAGGCCACATTTTCTTCAGATGCCACTTTTTCAATTGAAGAATTACATGCAAAAAAGAATGAAGATTATTTTAGATCTGGGAACTATCCTTTTGACAAGATACTTAAAACCCTACTGTGCATATTCTATCCTAAGTGATCCTATCTCTCTAAAAAAGGAAATGCCTTCCATATTTTTCCTTAAAAAAGCAAAACAAGACTTAAAAACTGTTTCTTCTGCTCCCTGAGACACAAGGGCTATTGTCTTCCTACCTTTGGCCCCACTGATTCTAGATAGAACCACAGGACGTCCCTGACCTGCACCAGATGAGGAAAGGTTGGCGTGGGGGTGGGCAGTAAATAGCCAAAGGAACTTGGGGTGGGGCAAGGCTGCACACCAAGGTTTTGGTCCTGTCTTATCTTTTTATTCAACATCTCATCACTTCCATTCTAAATAAAAAAAAATAACAAGCAAATAGTTAAATTTAATAGGAGTAATAAAGTGGTAAGGTTGTCCTTAGTTCAATGCTCCCCTAGAACTCCTTCGCCCTGGACTCAGCGGGCAGAGTATGAGATTCCTGCCTACAGCGAGAGGTTCTCACAGTAGGGCATGAGGTTTAGAAAGCCTTTGGATCTGCGTGTGCAGTGAAATATGGGTATCTCCCTCATTTCTAGCCTCTTAGGCCAAGAAGGTAGTGAATCCGGCCGGTGGCTGCCGGGCTGGGAGTCTGGCCCACGGCTATGCCAAAAAGCAGGGGCTCATCTCCGGGTGCAGACAGGTGGGTGCCGGGCGCCCGGGAGGGCTCTCTCGGCGCGTACTGGACCGCGGGGCCATAGCCCTGGGACAGTGGCTTGTGCCGCCCGTGCGGGGATCGGAGGACTTGACAGATCGCAGCGAAAAAAACATTAAACAAAAATAAACCCCACCGATTCCCCACTTCGCTCTTCTGCAAAGATACCGCGGGTGGAGCCGGGAGGGGGCGATTGAGGAGAATTCCGCGAGGCCGCCTACGCCCGCCACTCTGAGCCCGGTGCGCAAAGCCGCCCCCGGCCCTCGGCTTCGGGCTCTGAGCCGGGGTCTGGGCAAAGTCAGCGCCTCGTTGCGCTTGGGCTTCCCGAGAGGCGGCTTCGCTCCTCCGTAGTAAACAAAGTGTCGCCGCCGCCTCCACGCTGGTTTGCCTCCTAGCAATCAAAACACTGAGAGGGCGAGAGACTCATAGAAACACTCGAGAATTACCAGAAAATAATAACAGAGATTAAAAAAAAAAAAGTGTGTGAAAGAGAAAAACACCCTTCTACCCCCCACCAACACACAGCCGCCTCCCGGTGGAACACCGGGCCCGCCCAGGCCGGCGCCCACTGGCTCCCGGGGCGGCGTTGCCGCGCGCCTATTGGCTGTGCGGGCCGTCCGTCAGGGGCGGGCCAGCGCGCGAGCCGCCGCGGGCGGGGGCAGCGGCAGATCCCGTAAGTCGGGCGGCAGCGTAGTCTGCAGCCGCCGGCGGCGCCGCCACATTCAACAGGCAGCAGCTCAGCTGGCGCGCCGCGGGGGAGAGTCAGCGGCCCGCGGCGTCTGTCCGACCGCCCTTTAGTCCGTGGCTCCGTCAGCAGGAGTGCGGCGCCACCTCTGCCAGGACCGGGCGGCTCTGGCCAGTCGTCCAGTACGTGCAGCGGACCCGGAGAAGCCTCGATGTGGATGCACACACGAAGTTAAGTTCTGGGCTCGCGCTTCCACTCCGCCACTCCGCCGCGCCTTCCTCCTAGTTTCAGTCCTGTAGCCGCGCCGACCTCGCTCCCCCAATCTCGGACGGGCTCTTCGCGCCCCCTCCCCCTCCGCCCCCAGTGTTGCGCTCTCCTCCTTTTTGGCTCTCCCGCCGCTGGGGGAGGGGCGGGGGTCACCATGGCTGAAGCGCCCCAGGTGGTGGAGATCGACCCGGACTTCGAGCCGCTGCCCCGGCCGCGCTCATGTACCTGGCCGCTGCCCAGGCCGGAGTTCAGCCAGTCCAACTCGGCCACCTCCAGCCCGGCGCCGTCGGGCGGCGCGGCCGCGAACCCCGAAGCCGCGGCGGGCATGCCCTCGGCCTCGGCAGCCGCTGTCAGCGCCGACTTCATGAGCAACCTGAGCCTTCTGGAGGAGAGCGAGGACTTCCCGCAGGCGGCCGGCTCCGTGGCGGTGGCGGTGGCGGCCGTAGCTGCTGCCACCGGGGGGCTGTGCGGGGACTTCCAGGGCCCGGAGGCGGGCTGCTTGCATCCAGCGCCGCCACAGCCCCCGCCGCCCGGCCCGCTGCCGCAACACGCGCCAGTGCCCCCCGCCGCTGCTGCCGCGGGGCCGCTCGCGGGGCAGCCGCGCAAGAGCAGCTCGTCTCGCCGCAACGCGTGGGGCAACCTGTCCTACGCCGACCTCATCACCAAGGCCATCGAGAGCTCGGCGGAAAAGCGGCTCACGTTGTCGCAGATATACGAGTGGATGGTCAAGAGCGTGCCCTACTTCAAGGATAAGGGCGACAGCAACAGCTCGGCTGGCTGGAAGGTGAGCGGCCTTGGGGCTCAGTGGGGCAGGTGAGGGGGCGGCTGTGCGGGTTTGTCCGGCCTGAAAGTGCAGGGAGCGAGGGCAGCGCCTGCGGGGAGGAGAGGGCGAGAAGGGGCAGCTGCGGTGGTGGGCCTGCCCGAGACGTGTCGGGGACGGCAGTGGATATGTGCGCCCGTGCAAGTGAGAGTTCGACTGGGACGGGGAAAGAGGCTTGTTTGGGAACTAAGGAGTGAAGAAAATATGCCAAGAAGTGGACGTCAGAGCGAGCCGAAAAGTTTGCCAGTGAAAGGAAAAAGGGGTTCTCTCGGAGGTGGTCCCCCGCGGCCCGCGCGGACTCTCACGGCTGTATCTTTTCTTTCGGCACCTCAGTGGGGAGAGGCAGCTTCTTTCTGTCCCCGCAGCGCGTATCCCCCTGGCCTTGCGCCGCGGAACTGATTCAGCCGCGCCGGCGTGGGAGGTAAGGATAGGGGCCTCGAAGCTCCACTGCCCTGAGACCAGGCTGCAGGTGGAGAGGGGGCAGGCGGCGCGCGGGCGTCCGGGTACGGTGCACCGTTTCTGGAGGGCAGTGCACGTTTTGTTTTGTTTTGATTTTATTCAGAGTGTCCTCGGGGGCGCGGGGCTGGGTGTCCCGAACCAGAGGTAGCGCCTCCGACACGTGCGAAGGGGCGGCCACCGCCTGCTGAGCGCCGGCGCCCGGGAGCGCAGGGAGAGCTAAAGTTCAAGTGTGACCCTCGGCGGAGGCGGGAGCTGGAGCTGGTGGCGAGGGAGGGGCCGCGGGCGCAGGAAACGAGCGTCTTTAAAGGGCCAGAGTGTCCAGGCCGTTCTCGGCGGGGCCAACACACGCAGGGAAGTGTCCCCAAACTTGGTCTTGTCCAGGGTACGAGGCTTTTAATTAGAGACCCAGAAGCTGCCCTAGGTGATCAGGGGCTGGGGGATGTAAGTGCTTTCTCTTAACCTTGGTAACTTAAGTGTTGTCGAGCAGAGTACAGATAAGGGGTGAGGCTGGGGGCTTATGTGACTGGTGGTGTGGGGGCGTCGAAGTGGAGATGTGCGTCAAGGGAACGGTCAGGGACTTCCTGCTTCGATGGAGAATTGTAGAAGAGACTGCCCTTCCTGAACGAGACAAGAGAGAGAGATTCAGGGTGAGGGCAGGCACTTCCGACCTGCTCTTCAGAGAAGGGCCCAGGGCTTTCCGGAGATCGGGCTCTGGGGAAGCTCATGAGGGCAGGGTCCCGTCTGCGGCCTCCCCAAGCTGTTTCTTATTACTCAGGGGTGTAGAGATTGCTGTAAAGGCTGTCAGGTTGAGCCAAGCACCTTTCCCACCTCTTTTCAACTCCTCATCCTGACAGTGCAGCATAATAAAGATTGAGTTTTGCTGCGCATTTGTTGTACCAAGGTTATTTTGCGTACACTGTCATCGCCATTGTCAGTGAGTGTCAAAACGGCCAAGTTTCTTACTTAGAGAAGTTCCTGGAGAAGGAGCTAGGATTAATTTTCCAAAGTGTATTTTATAGTAAAGGTATAACTTATGACCTCATTAGTCGACATTACATGCTATTTTACCAAGGATTTCAAAAGGGCGAAGTGCCCCTTAAGGCATAGATAAGCTAGCATATATCTTTTTAAGCCAGAAAATCGGGATAGTCCGCTTAATCTTATTTTACTTAACGTTTGAATTTAAGTACTTGACTGATTTGCTCATCTGTCAATCCTACTTCAGTTATTATAAAGCATTTAATAGGAGAAAAAAATTTTTTTTTGGTATTCCAAGTACAATGTGTACTTACACTATTTTATGTCCTTGGAAGTGGATACAACATACTTGAACTTGTTGGAGTGTCTTTCTTTAAAGAGAGAAAGGGATATTTTTAGTTTTGCCTCTCAACTGGTGGTGTCAGGGAATTATTCTTAAGCTAGGAATATTACTTAAAGATTTTTTTTTAAATAGTCAATTCATCTTCCCAACCATTTTAGTAGTAGTTTTTAAAAATGCAGGTGTACTGTAGTTTTTAAAAAATTTTTTTGCTTAGCAGAGGTCAGAGCTATTGAGTGTTAAGTAAAGACTATCTGGAACTGGAGGCCCAGTGGCAGTTCCCATTGGGAACATACTCTGGGAACATAGTTGGGCTTTGGAAGGAGCAGGCTGCCTTTCTCAAATGAGTGAATGTTTCAGGTGTAATGAGAGGCAGTTGGTGCAAGTCAAATTACAGCAAGTGCATTTTCAGTTTGAGTAAAAGGGTATTTTAAGAAGAAAAGAAACAACCTGAACGGTTTAAAGTCATAACTAGTCTTCTGGTTGTATTTTTCATAAAAACAAGTTACTTGTTAAAACCAAGTTTCACTCTCAGATTTGAAAGTCTATCCTGTTGTAAAGATTCATAAGAGAAATTTTACTATGACTTTTAACTTTAAAAATTCTAATTCTTAAATGCAAATCAAAACTTAACTGTTTTAGTACTAAGGAAACATTGCTTTGGAACAAAATATTTCCTGTGATTTACTACTGGGAATTAGACTGAATATTTAAATATATAATTTCTTGTGCTTTACTTCCTGGGGCCTGCTTGAAAATTTGAAAGCCATTTGCATAGGACAAACTAGTTGGAAAGCTGTTAGAGTTCAAAAACATTTCAGTGTCCTCCTTCAGGCATTTAAGCACTGGTTATGTTTGAGAGAGGCCGTCTCCTAATCGGTTTTACACTTGTTTTAATCTTGGCTAGAACTGTCATAAGGTCACATATAAAGTGGAACCTAAGACTTTTGGAAAATCCAGGATCTTTTGAACCTAGTGCAGTATTTATAAATAGTGAAACTTCGTTTCCATGACCTATTTTCTCTTCGTTTCCCTTCTAACCTTGGGAAGTAGTATTGTGAGCTCTGATTTTTTTTTTTTTTTGATGGCAGTTTTGAATTGACTCTTGTTTTCTTTTTTTTTTGATGTTATTTGGAACACTTTAGTTTAAAAGAATGATTTTAACTTTAAAACCTAACACTTACCAGAGACATTTTTATATTGTTTTATTATGAGATACTTCAAACACTCTTAATTTGAAATGAAGATTCTTTGATTTGGCCTGTGAACTGATAATGGATTTTCTTATATGTTAAAATTCAATTCATATTCTTCAGTTTGGGCTTTTAATTTGTAGGTAAGTAATTTAACTAGCCACAGAGATCCCAATACCAAGATGGCTGCTTTCTTCCTGCACAGAAGCATTTGACTTAAAGAATCCTGGTGAATCTGAGTAGAGAACCTGAGGCTTCTTTCTACTTCTGGTTTTGTCACTGAAATTACCTTAAAATCATTTTTATAAAAAGTTGGGTAAAAATGTGGATACTATTTATGTACGTGGTGAAGCAAGAATGAGGAAATAGAATTAAAAATGGGTGAGATTTTTATTTATTTATAAATAAATGTGATTATTTATTTATTTTTGCAGTTTTTGTGATATTTTATTTATTTATTTATTTATTTTTGCAGTTTTTGGCTGGGACTGGGTTTGAACCCGCCACCTCCCATATATTGGGCCGGCGCCCTACTCCTTTGAGCCACAGGTGCTACACCTTTTTTGAGACTCTTAGGAACTTCATTTTTACTTTTTGCCTATGGTTTTTTGGCACATCTTTGGTTTGGTGGAAATTTAAAAAAATTTTAAAGACAGGGTTTTACCCTTGTCACCCAGGATGGAATGTAGTGGCACAATCAGTCACTGTTCACTGCTCACTGCAGCCTCAAACACCTAGTTCAGGCGATTTCTCCTGCCTCAGCCTCTTGGGTAGCTAGCACTGTAGGCTGTGCCATTAAGCCTAGCTAATTAAAAATTTTTTTTTGTAGAGATGGGGCCATTTGACACCTAAAATGAAGGCATTTTAATCTCAGGTAAACTTTTAAAAAGTTAAGTTTTTTGAGACCCCTGAATTGCCAAAAAGGTGTCATGTTGACAGCAGGTAATAATATCATGGAATTTCATGCTCTGCACAGGGTCTTATAAATGTTATAAATGGAGAAGAGGGGAAAAATACTCAGTGGTATGTTAGAATCTGTGTAGACTGTGCCTGAGCCCAGGAGTTTGAGACCAGCCTGAGCCAGAGCAAGACCTCGTCGCTAAAAATAGTTGGGTGTTGTGGAGGGCGGGCGCCTGTAGTGGAAGGCTGAGGCAAGAGGATCGCTTGAGCCCAAGAGTTTGAGGTTGCTGTGAGCTGTGATGTCATGGCACTCTATCGAGGGTGACAAAGAGAGACTCTGTCTTAAAAGAATCTCTGTAGATTGTAAACATTTTGCCTGTCTTTGTGCTTTTAACTTCTTTGTCTAAGCTCCTAAACTGCAATTTTGTACTAAACCAGGCATCCTTAAACTACGGCCCGCCTGGGGCATTTATCTGGCCCGCTGGGTGTTTTTGCTGCTGCTGCCTGTCTTGCTTAGCAGCTGACTTGTCCCTGGGCCTGCAGTCTGGCCTTGCAACTGTCTGAGGGACAGTGAACTGGCCCCCTGTTTAAAAAGTTTGAGGACCCCTGTACTAGACATTGTAAGAGAGAAGCTATCTGTATTTGCCTGGAATTTCTGTGTGTGTGTGTGTGTGTCTCAACTGTGTCCGTGTTTCTGAAACACTGCTCTTGCAAACTACGTAGTACCCTGGCATAATGGGAATTGACTGTGTGATATAGCTTTGGGGTCCTGGGATTCTCTTGGAAAGGCAATATAAATTCCATAGTGATTGGGGAAAGCAACTGTTCAGTTCTGTGGAAGACAGAATGAGTTTGTTCTTGCTTCCCAGAAATTCCAAATTTGTCTTGGCCTTTATTGCCACAACTTTTGTGGAGACTTGTCCAACCCCTCAGGACTTTTGGGTCATATAGCCACCATTGTACATATAAAATTCTTAAGTTTGTGGTGGTGGTCTTCAGTTGTGAAACAGAGGACCAGGTGAACTTGAAAAAAATGTTTATTTTGGTGTGGAAGGGATGAAGGCTTTTATTACAGTGGATATGCTATATACTTA